CTATTATTCTTAGAATGTTTAGTTTGTATGCAACAGAACTTAATATGCATAAATTGCATATGTACACTATTTGCAAGAAAAGTAAAGAGGAGGGAAGAAATGTCACCTTTTCTGTTGTTACATTCACAGCACAAAACTGAATTCAGACACTGAAGATAATGAAATAGTAAATGTTAGTTGACACTGAAGTGCTGATTTAATTTGTCTGAGATATGTTAACGTCTGTTCTATTAACATTATTACTTTTCCTTGTCTCCATTTCACAATATTAAAAATAGCTTAGTAGAAAATGCTTTCTTGAATATTTGCTTCTCAAATACTTAGTGTATGATTAAATACTAGTATTTATAAGTTAGTCCCTTTGTTATATCACGCAACAATTTCTGTCCTTCACACCAGTTTTTCTTGTAACAACTGAGGATGCACTTCAGATCATTTAAGTTTTGAGCATTCTGTGGCCTCTCGCATCAAAACTTTCTTTAGAGAAAAGAAATGTGAAATGTCTCTCAATTCAACTATAATGCAAATAATAAATGGGTCCCCTTGTAGACTGTTTTTTTTAAGTTGTTGTTTTTCAGTGCTCGGTTCCTCAAAATCAAATCAACTGAAAACTTGATTTAATGGATGGATGCATACACTGAGCATAGGTGTGAAGTACTTTCAGCATAGAGGGATACGTTCTCATTGTTTTTTGTGTAGCCAAGGGCAGAAAAGCAAATTGAAATTAAACTTAGAGCATTGCTTCTATATTTTTATAGAGAACTGTCATGTTTGAGTATTTGCCTAGATATACACAAATGTGAAGTAGTTGAATAGTGTACTGGTACAACTGTATGTTGTTCTGAAGCCATCTGGATGGTGCTTACCAGTAGTGTGTGAATTATCTAGCTAATCTTTTAAATATTTGAGTATTACTGACGGTTTCAAATGCCTTGCTTTGGGAAATTGAGTGATTGGTAGAAGTGCAAGATTTACATGGCTTTGAGATTACGAAAAAGTTATATTGTCTCAGCTGAAGGGCTGCAAGTTAAGTTTGGGGTGTAAGGGAAGAATCAGAAAAATGACTTTATTTTATTTTTCTTTAAATCTCTGCTCAAAATGTTATGCTGATACTCGAGCATTGTGTGTATCCGAAGAGTGCTTTACAAGATCCTTTGAAAGAGGAGGGACAAAGCTTGCAGTTCTTGAAGTTCTGACTGAGATGTTTGTTTTCCTTGCAAAGCAATTGTAATTTTTTTTTTTTTTTAGTTTCTTTGCAAATGCTTGCAAAAGCAGTGGGACCGTTTGTGGGAAGGAGTAGAGAAAATTGCAGTTTGTTTGAGAGCTCTTTTAGTCAGATTTAGCTTACATGTAAAAGGAGTTGAAATTAGTTAATATCCAAATGTGTGATTACAGTTCAGCAGCAGGAGAAGCAAGAAAAGCTGCAAAAGCCAGTAGTTCCTGGGGAGACAGTTTCTGTTGATTTTTTTTTCACCCAAGGTTAGTGGAAGAGAGATGAGGAAAAATTGGCAATTTTTAGCAAGAATGAGTGCTATTTGGGAGTATTAGATATATACCTATATATTTTAAACTGACGTTAAGAACTTACTGATTCTGTCATGGTTTCTTAAGCTTTTTAGTATGTAAAGCTGTGGAATTAAAACTAGCGTAGAACTGAAATTTCACCAGGTAATCAAAGTTAGATCTGTTGAATTCTCTTATTTCCTAGTGTAAGGAGTGAATCATTTCCATATTGTTGCTTTAACTCTTTTCTATAATTCTGATGCCTGCAAGATAATTGCATATGTAGGTGTTGTTTCTTTAACCAAGTGAGGTGATGCCATTATGCGACTGCTTGGTCTATATTCTCCCATCACTGAGAGAAAAAGGAGGGAGATTATTTTGTTTGACTGACGTGAAATGTGATCTATTGTCCAAAACTACAAAAAGAAGCTTTTGTAGATGGAATATTTAGGTTAAGGTGAATGGGAACATTGTGAAAAACAGCTCTTATTTTATGTGAATGTAAGCAATTTTTCTATGTACTGTAAGCTATTTATTTGAAACAAGTACAAAGTAAAGTTTCTCCTTGCCTCTGTGGCAAAGAGAAGAAATCTCTACAGAGCTGTAATAATGAACTGCACTTGAGTTACATGTTTGAAATGGTTCTTAGTGTACTTTTCTGCATATTTTGCAATATTTGTGTGACATACTGGAAAGGAAAAGACTTGCTTCTGATTGATCATCTTTATTAAAATAGGAAAGCATACAAAACCCTAGAAATTAATTCCATTCATAAGTGTATGAATGTAAGCATATTCCCTTCAGAGATTCATCTTTCTTCTGAACCTTGCATATGTGAAAAACCCCTATTTTTGAAATTTTATTCAAAATACTTCTGCCTGCTGAACCAGATAGATGTTTATTGGCATTAAAAAAAAAGTGTCTGGGCTCAAGCAATCTGCAGTTTAATAAATCACTTTCTTCTATTTGTTGTTTTAAAATTATTTTTACAATTCTTTTTTTTTTTTCTTGCCTTTTGTCTTTGATTGAAGCTCCACATGTTGCAAAGCACAACAATTGTGAAGTGAAAGGTACAGATGAAATCATTTGGTATTCAGTACATATGAAGTATTTAGATTACAAAAAGTATTTTGAATGTTAACAATTTACAACAAATAAAAAATAAAAAGCACACTGATAATATACATTAGAACAAATGATATAATGTGACCTGGTGTTGGAGGGATATCAGAGATGAGCCGAATGATGGGCATGCTTCAAAATATTTAGAGACATGTAAAATAAAGAAAAAAAAAAACAAAAAAACCAATAACTTCCGAGAGGTTTTTTCTTGTTGTTCTGATTCCAAACACATTCTGGTTAGCATTAATCTCTGTACTGAACTAGGGTGCTTACAAGTTGTTAGTATTTTGAACTGGAAACTCCTTGGGTGAGTTTGTTCCCTGTAACAGTCATGAGACTTTTGTGTATGTTAATTTAATGTAAAGACCAAGTCATACAATAAACACATCCAAAACTACTTGCACTACTTTGTTTTCTAGGACTATTATCAAAAAGGATCAACCTTCTCCCAGGTAATAACAGCTGATGTTCTGGAATGGAAGTTCTAGTCATGCTTTTTTCCCTTCTTCGGCAGTTGTTCTCACTGCTCAGATTAATACTGAAGTTATGTAATCACTTTCCTTCATGGCTGTACTGACAACGGGTTGGGAAGCCGATTAAGATGAAACAAATGGGAGTGGATTTAGTGGATTATTGCTTTGGCCTCATAAATAAATAGGCATGTAAGTGATTTATGAGACATTTGCTCTGAGAGTACTCCTGGAGAGGGAAATGTCACTATGCAGATACCAAAATTTGTTCTTGAAAGCTTCTATGCATGATTATGGCTTTAAAGCACTGAACTCTGAGTGCTTGCCATTTCAGCTGTTCTGGTTCCAAAGTGTATCAGCACTGCATGCCATCTTCTCTGCAGGTGATTTCTAGGTTGACATGCTCAGCCTGAGGATGTTCCTGTGCCAGACAGCAGAAGTTGGAGCTGCGTGGAAGCTGCTCTGGGATATGATTTGGGGGGGGGGAGTTCTTGGTGGGCAGGCTGCATGTGACCCTGGCAGCAGTTCCTCTCCCAATATCCCTCTTCTATTCTGATTTCATTTTGGTTATTGGGCACGGGTGTTTAATTAAAAGTCAAATTATATGGTAATGATGAGGTGTACTTCTTCATTTCCCCTAAAGGTAATGTTACTGAGCTATTTGTACTCTGTGTTGACATGTTTATATGTGGTTCTACCAGAAAACAAGTTCCTAGCAGGACTGCTGTATCAATATTGAATCACAGAATAGAATCATAGAATCCTTAGAGTTGGAAGGGACCTTTAGAGGTCATCTAGTTCAACTTTTCTGCAACAAATAGGGAATATGAATATGGGCCATGCTCTTGAGGCTTCTCAACCAAGTATTATTTAATCTAAATAATTGTTCCTCAGGTAGTATTTCCCATAAAACTGCTAAAAGCAGAGCTCAACTTAGGCTTTCCCTGTGTGCTGTACTTTGTCTGAATCTTGTTAGCTATGAAACAGCATCAAAATGGCTCTCCAGCTTGGGTGAGTTGCCATGAGGCTGTGAGTAAAGTTTGGGTTAAGGTTTGGAGTTCATTATTTCTGCTGAGAGAATGCAGCCTCCCACCAAGGCCGTGCTGGCCATGGACCTTACCTTTTCATTTTCGGTTTTCATTGTGTTCATTTTCATGTTTTTTTTTGTTTTGTTTTGTTTTTTGTTTTTTGTTTTTTTTTTTAAATAACCTATATTATTTATTTTATTTTACACAATGTCTGAATTGCCTAATGCATAAATGCTCTTGCTCCTATCTTCTGCCCCCCTTTTCCTACTATTTGTGCAAGTATTTAAGAAGAAAGAAGAAAAGCAAAAAAACACAACACTGTCTTCCCTCCCGAGTAGACTTAGGTTGGGTAAAAGAGTGCAGGACTGAAATACCGTGGTCAGGAGCACTTCAGAAGCACAAAATGCCCCAACTTTACACACGAATGAAAAGTGACACACCCTACAGCCGAATATAAAGTGACAGATACCCGGACAGAAGCCGACTAGGAGCTGAGAGGGAGTTTTTTACTCAAGGTCTGCTTATAGATATGTCTGCATCTGAATGGTGTCATCCTGACTGACAGCCTTAGTCGTGATTAGGAATAGAAGCCATACCCGTGTCGAACTGTTTTAACACATTTCTTAGGTGCTTTCTGACCTGCATTTTGAAGGACTACTTCAGAAGCACTGTAACAGGCGCGCTAAGAACGGGGAGCCTTTTTGCTTGCATATGTAATTCCAGAACCCGGCCCTGGCGATGCTATTTTGTGGCTGCCGGAGGGGTCCCAGACTGCTCCAGTGGTGCCATGATGTTTGTTGCTGAGTTGAGCACCGGGCGTGAGAGCTCAGAGATGCACAAACCCTCGCCGTGTGTGACTTCAGCCGGAGCCCTCTCTTCGGAGCCGAGGAGGATGCGTCAGGGAAAGGCACTCCGCCGCGCTTCGGAAAGGAAGAGCTGGACCGCCCGTGGGCACGAAACTTCCTATCTCGAGGAGAAGCGAGAGCTGCTGCTGGCTCCTAACCCACACAATGAGCAGTAGGGAGCCGGAGGCGTTCTCTGCCACGCAGGGCAGCTCCGGCCCGGAGACGCGGAGCTCGGTGTGGTGGAGATTGGGTGCGGCAGAGGCCAGCCCCAGCCCAGCAGCCGCGTGAGCCCCTCGCTGCCAGCTGGAAAGCTGCGCGGCGCCCACCTCCGTCGCCCTCCCCAGGGGATGGTGCTGAGGGCGAAACGAACAAGTAGGCTGTCCCTCAGCCTGTCCCCAAGGGTAGAGTCTTTGTGTAGGAAAGGGGTGGGGATGCGGCGGCTTTCTCGCGGAGGTTTATTATTATTGGGCGGGTAGACGTGGGGGGTGTGGGGTGTGGGGGGGGAGCGCACCGAGCAGACAAAATGCGGAGCCCCTCGCTCCGCGCCCGGCAAGCGTGTGTGCGCGTTCGGGAGGCGGGCGGCTCGGCAGCGGCGGGGGCAGAGAAGAGCGGGGATCAGGAGAGAGCGGAGAGGAGCCGGCGACAGCGCGAGCATGCTCTCCATGCAACAGTTCCCTGCCCTGCCCACAGAGGAGGAGCGCTACCGGCAGGTCCTCTCCGCCAGAAGGGTAAGGCCAGCCTGAAAGCGCCGGCAGGCTACGAGCGAGGGTGCGGTGCCAGTACCTCGACGCTCGGTGCTCATTCTCTGGAGCTCGGGCGAGCGGCAGGGCGCACGGGTCAGCGCAGAGTGGAGAGTCCCGCTCCCGGCCCCGTGGCTGGAGAGAAAGCATGAGGGTCGGGGCCGTGCCGCCCGAGGGGACGCGTTCCGGGGCGGCTGGGGAGAGGTGACTGTCTGCCCCACCTGTCTCTGCGGGCGCTCCGCTGCCTGAGCTCTCCTGTGCGCACGGCTGCGCAAAGAGAACGCGGAGACGACCGAGCTCGACTGCGAGCTGGGTCGTGTCGCCCACGGCTCTGTGCCAGACTCTTGCCGAGACCCAGCTCCTACAGTCAGTGGGGGAAACGAAGAGGGCTGGCGCGCCCTATCAGTTCAGCGGCCGGAGGTGCGCCGAGCCCGGCGGCAACAGGTCCGCTCGAGCTTTGCGAGAGCGAGGTTGGGGCTTAGTGTCCGGCGGGACCCCGCCCGTGGCCCCATCCTCGGCGTGGAGCCCCCAAAGCCGGACACCCCTGCCGCGGCTGTGCGCCCGACGGTCGCCGCCCCCCGCGGAAGGTCATCTCTCGGAGCGTCACAGTGAGGGGCCGGGAAACTTGAAGCGAAAACGAGCTGTTAGTCCTCGCTGGGAGAGGCAGGGTACCTGGGCGACGGCGTTCCTAGCTCCCCGCAAGCTCCCCAGCTGGAAGATCGAGGTGGAAGGGAGGCTAGACGGCCGCGGGGTGAGCGAGCAGGTGTCTGCCCGAGCCCCGGTGCGGGTCATGCCGCGGGGCGGGCGAGAGCGGCGGGAGGCTGCGGGTGCTCTCAGTGTCAGCGCGCTCGGGCCAGCACCGCACACTGCGTGCCCCAGCGAGATAACGCGTTTTGCCAACTTTGTGCTTTTGCACTCGAAAAGACGATGGTGGAGCTTCCTGTGCTGTGAAATCGTTCCACATGCACCAAAATTGCACAGCGGCGTTTTTTAGAAGTTCCTAAATATGGCAAGAGTGCTTTAATTGTATCATTTCTCCACTTGATTTAAAACACAGAATCCTTAGATGCATTTCATTGCAGACAGTTAATTAATTGACTTTTTATGTAAAGTTATTAGCAGTCTGGCTGAGATGGTGAAACTCTAAGTGAAATGAAATACCTAGAGCTTTTAGTGCATTCGTGGGGTCTCTTGGGAGGGCTTAGCTTTCAGCAGTAAAAACCCGGGATGGATTTTTCCGTATGGCCTCTTATGTCCTTTCCATGTTCTCGAAGATGGTCCCATAGCAATACTAAACTACAGTTCTTAGTTTTGTTCTTGTCATGTATGCGTTAGTCTGGGCTGTTACCAGCCTCTCAGGTGCTTTAACTGTTGGGGTATAGGCACAGTTGAATGATGGTATCAGAGGCTATTTAGGTATCCCCTAAACATTTACTGCAATGAGTCAGCAACCACTGTGCTTCTCTAAAAGCTGGTAGCAATGCCTGAATGTCCTGGCCATCTACATTCTGTACAAAGCTTCTCTAGGGGTGGGGGAGTCTCAAACACTGTCCAAAACTTGTTCAGAAAGGCAATACTTGTGACTTCCCCAGTAATGGTGAAGCCCTTCAGCCTGTGCACCATCCTCACTCCTCATGCACTGTTAGTGCAGCCAGCAGCACTTGTTTTACTGAGTGGGTTCTTGGGACAGCGAGCCAGGTTGCTCAGCTCACTCCCATATTAGAGGAATCTGTTTGTGATCTATTAGTAACTGATGGGACCATCAGGGCAAAACATTGTGTGTTGCCCCCCATTCTTTGGGAGCCCAGAACTTTGACCCAGAAGCATCAAAGAAAGCATTCACCTCCTCTCCAAAAGTCTTATCTGGCACTCAGCTGCGTGCCTATGGCAGATAACTTGAGCATGTAGTGAATCGAGAGTGTAAGGTAGCTTCAAATATGTCACAACTGAAAGTGTTCTATAAAATGTGCTGTACACCCTGGGCAGTTTAATGTATCTGAATTTTTGTTTATTCATTTCTTATGTATTAGATGATGTTTGCAGACATAAAAGAAAGCCAGGACCGTAAGCAGTGCCAGTAATTATTTTAAAATGCATGCTTACTTCCATGTAGGAATGTTTATTCTTCCATTCTTTCTTTTCATTCCCTCTTCCCCCCACCCCCCTTTATTTTATTTTATTTTGCTAAGCTGGCATACATGTTTAGGTCTTAGCACTCTGCTCCCTTGAGGAAAATTAACGTCCTGCTATTATAGCAAACCTTCATATACTTGTAGCATTTCTTCTCATTTGTGTGGCTAAAGGTGTGCTCTCAGAGGCTGAGGTGGATAGAACCTCTGACAGAGCCAGCAGAGAAGATGGGCAGGCAAGGCAGTGTTGGGATGCTTAGACCTGGTGAAGAATCCCAGCAACTCTTGTGCTCACCATGACCCAAATGGTCTAACCAATCAGTGCTGAATTCTACATAAGCCTTTTGTACACAAGAAGGAAGCCAGTGCTTCCATGTATGTGGCCTACTGGCTCAGATGGAGGTGCAGCTTCAGGAGGGTGAGGCCATCCCAATATGTAGGCACTATGTAGGCACTGAGGCACTTCCTAAGGAGTTGGGAGATGTGACTTTGACCCTCACCTGGACTGGGGGCTCCAGGTAACAGGCCTCCTGTTTTCGGGCTGAATGTCATGTGCTGTGAGGCAATCACACACAGTGGTGCTATCACCTGTTGTGGTTGGTCAGCTTTTAAAGCTGGCAGATACTGCTACACTGAGTGGGAAGAGCTGAATCCATCAGCGTGTCAGGTGTTGCTGGCAGAGCATAAAATCATAGAATGGCCTGGGCTGAAAAGGACCCCTGCTATGTGCAGGATCACCAGACCAGGCTGCCCAGAGCCACATCCAGCTTGGCCTTGAATGCCTCTAGGGATGGGGCATCCACAGCCTCCTTGGGCAACCTGTTCCAGTGTGTCACCACTCTCTGTGTGAAAAACGTCCTCCTAATATCTAACCTAAACCTCCTCTGACTCAGTTTAACACCATTCCCCCTTGACCTATCACTATGCTTATACCCTAACAGACGCTTATGAGGCCAGAGAAAGGCTTCGTTTCTGATGGCCAGCTGTGGTCTGGCAGGGCTAGGTGTCAGGCCACTTGCAATAGGGCAGTTGTAGGCATGCATGTGCAGCGTACACCCTTCCAAACGTGGCTGCCGGGCACCTCCTGATTTTTAAATGCCTGCAGCCAAGCAGCAGGGCTGTAGAGGAGTGATGTGATTGCAGTTTGAAATAGTGATGTTCCCGCTCTGTTCCAGCTTCTTTTCCTACCAAAAAAGAAATTGACCACAAGCTTAAACTCCCTTTGTGAAGGTCTTCTCGTGCAGAACAACCTCTAAAAGCTTCTCTCTCCCCGGGGTGCCCAGCCCGGGTCGGGCCGTTGGGGTTTCCCCGTCGGTCTGTCGGCACGGCCGCGCGAAGGAGCGCTCGTGCTGCCGCCCCCGGCTCGCACCCCGCGACAGACGAACACGACGCCGACCGCATCCCTTCGCTCTGCCCCCCGCCCCTCTATAAATAACTCTTTCCGGGCTGACCTGCCAGATTCCCCCGGCAGAGCGGATCCCCTTGACCCGGGGCGCCTGCAATGGAAAGTCTGAATGCAAAACATACCGTCGTAAAAATAGCGCAGCTGGGGAGCCCCCTCTGCACGTCCTGGCGGTGCCGCTCCGACCCTCGCGCTCACGGCTCATCCCGACCCGATAACGGCTCCGATCGCGCCGGCGGCCCTGAGGCGTTTGGCTGCCCTGAGAGCTCTCCCTGCCTGTTGTAGTGCCCTCATGGTGAATTTTTTTCCCCCATTCTCTCTCCTTTTAACTGGAGGAAGCAGATTTCATCAGTTCCCTTCTGGTCAATGCTTTGTAATCATCCAACACGAAAGAAGTAATGATTTAATGTCATAAATGCACAGACAGTAATGAGACAACGGTTGAGCAAGGACTTGCTGCTTTAAAAAGAGGTGAGAAGCCTCTGAGGTAACACACGAGATTTCAGCTCGTGCCTCCCTTGTGTGGAGGATCGTTTCCCTGAAGGGAGAAATTCTCCTCAGCTGTGCTTTCAAGCTGCTCTAATTTAAAGAGATGCTTGTCGTTGTTTATTTAAGAGTATAATTAACGTGCTGCTATTTCTGGTTGTTTTACCTGCACAGTTTGAATATTTGGATTTTAAAAGCAGCAATAAATACCAGAATGTGGTATTTAGCTGTTGATGTGCTTTCAGCTTTGGTGCATCTGCACTGTGATCTCCTGTCTTGCCGCATCCACTGGGGCCCAGCCTGCCCTGCATGCTGTGCTGGAGCGGCCTCAGCTCATAACCGTGCACCCACACAACCACTCAGTGATCTCGGAGACCTGGTGGCCAACTCATCAGTAATGGCAGTTTGGGAAAGTACATTCACTCAGAAGTGACCAAAGGTAGCGTTATCTCTGTGGTTGTCTCCTCCTTTGTCATCTTTGATCCTTAAACTAAGCAGAGATGGAATGAATCAATTTGTCCATCAGATCCTTTTCGCTGTCTGTGCCATTAGAGTGGAACTGTTTCTTTTCTGAGTATTGCACAGTTTATAATTCTCTCTTTCTTTGTGTTAGTGTTGTTACCCACTTAAGGTAGTTTTCAGCTTGTTGTCCTGTAATGAAAAGAGGCTGAAAAACAGATATTGCCAGAGATGCCCTGCAGTGATAAACTTTATGCTTTGTTGATTCAAGCCCTGCCTCTCTTCACAAAGAATGTACTTCCCACAACAGTATGCACTGTGGGGCACCATCTTTTGCCCATGTGCTATATGTAACCTGTTGCCTTTAAAAAGAAAAAAGAGAGAGAAAATACAAATTGATGAAATTTTCTAATTTCTTTCTTGTAGAGTAATCTATAGGGGACAGCTCCTGTAAACCTGTCAAGTGGACTGCCAAGCTGTGGACTGCAGGTGCTCCTGCAAGCTACTGCTCTTCCTAAATTCCAAGGTTCACTTTTTCTCAAAAAATAAGCATTTTTATTTTGAACATTTAAGTCATCTTTATCCAAGCTTTAGCAGAAAGGAATTGAAGGTAAATATTAATTTCCTTTTTTTTGGGACTGCATCTATTCTGATTTATGTTTTGTAGTTGAGAGATATTTCAAGCTTAATTCTCAGTGGATGATTCTCCTGCTTTGGGACTGGATGGTTAGTGGCTGTCAACATGTCTTCCTCTCTTCCCCAAACCTGCAACACTCAGTTCTGACATACACTGAACCTAGTGTTTTAAAAATGAATGTGCTAAAATCTTCCATGTCTGATATTTTTGATCCCAAATAGATTTAATTTAGCAGTGATTCAATAGCAATAGTAATTGCCCAGATTGTCATTGCCTTTCACCTCACATTACTCCTAGTTTCAGAGTAGCCTATGCTGTCACTCCAATAGAGCTGCAAGTTACTTGGGAGCATTTCCTAGAAGAGAAACTTCTTCCCTTCCTGCCTACGAGTGAAGCAGTAAAAAAATCACTTACTAGCTCATTAGGCTTCAGAAATCAGTCAGGGCAGTCTTTTAGAAATGAAACCACTGGTAGCACTAGAAGCTTTGCATCCCAGGTCTCTTGGACCTGTAGCTCTGTATTCACATAATAGGTGGAGTATATGTATAGTATCTGCTCTGGAATTCCCTGGGATTCTCATGTGCTCTATTTTCCATTGCTCATTCTTCCAGGGTCGTGTCTTTTGCTGTGTGGATTATTTTGCCTGTGTTAAAGTGGTAACAGAACCAGTGGCACCTGGAGATTGTAGATGCAGAACATACTAGCAGTTGCCAGGCTTTCCCCCATCTCCTGCATTTTCCCATTTACAGACAGCTGAGCCTTACTTTAAAAGCCTATTTATTCTTGAACACAGGGCTTAGAGATAGACATTGCTGGGAGCTGGGTTGCTGTTTGGAAGATGTCTGTTCTGTGCAGGTATGAAAACAGGATGGATAATGTATCTGAAAGAATATTGGAAATCAAAAAGTAGTGATTTTTATTTATTGATTTGTTGCTAAATGATTTGTGGTCAGCATGTCACAAAATAATTCAGCAGAAAATGCCTTTCTAAAACATAGCTTCGTTCTTGCCCATCTGTTTTAAAGATATAAGTTGAAGTAATATGTAATGCATGCAGACAAGGCTGGAAAAGAAGTCTGAGATGGTGGTGGAATGTGTTTAAAAGTTATTAGCAATTCTTCCTCTCCCTTGCAAAGTCAGAGTATATGTAATAGTGTTGCTAGTGACCTGGAAGGGCTAAGAACCCAGATGGTTTTCATTTGCTTTTTCCTCATTACAGATAGATTATTATGTAACTTCTTGTAGATTTCCAGTGAAGATGTGAATGAGAGGAAAACTGACATCCGTTCTAGAGATGACGATGATGCTGAATAGTCCTAGACATAAATACAGTAGAAATGTTCTTCTTTGGCATAATAATTCACTAGATTGTTACTGTTTCAGACACCTAGATGGAAGTTTTTAATCCCATAAATCCATATGTGGTCCAAAAATCTTTGATACTATATCAAAGTCATAGCCAGAATCTTACACCTATGGAAGTGCTTTGTTAATGCACTTAATTGTGAGTTTTCTGTTCCAGATCATTGTTTCATAACTTAGACAGTGACAAATAGGTTTAATCCCTACTCATCTCTTCAATTATTTCTGTCAAAATGCACTGACATTTGGGGAAAATATCCTTTCTGTTCTTAATTTTCTCCTATTGAAGCAAAAAGTTCAAAGGCGGTGTTTCTGAGAAAAAAAATGGTATTCTATTGAAAAAAATCAATGCATTTTAACCTCTGCATTTTATACTTAGCAGATTATTGAGACATTATGTAATACCATTTTCATCCTTGGGAAGAGGTTGAATAACTATCCAGCTATGCTGAACAGATGAAACTTTGTTTTGATTCTAAACCATGTCTTTACTTTGATTAATATTGCTGCAGCTCTCATCCTTGGTCCAAGATTCAATCATCTTTTTATTCACAATTCAGAAAAAAATAATTAACATAAATTTAAAATTACACCGTCAAATCTAAAATTTCAATTAGCATCCAATTCACATTGTTGAAAGCTTATGATTTTAAATAGATGACTGTATAATGAGCAATAGGCATGGCAGATATATCATATACTGGTTGACTTCAAGTTCAGAAGGCAGAACCTACTGATCAGGTATTAATAAAAAGAAGTATATTTATTAATGAGGCCTATTAGTCTTTTTCAGGATGGGCATTCTGGTAGAACTTACACACGGATGGTGATTAGTGCACTGATTGTGAGCCACAGGGCAGCCAGGATTTCTCATTGCTTCTTCTAATTTTCCTAGCTTGAAAATTGTTTTCAAGAGAAGGTTTTCCTTTTTCCTCTAACTGGATCCTTTCACCCCTTTACAGGATTTTTTTTTTTTTTTTTTTAAAGAATCTTTTCATTGGCACAATTTAGGCCATTAAGATTTTTTTCTTTTCTGATGGTTTCCACTTTTGTTTTTTGGTGCTGATGGCTCATGGCAAATTCTTATTCAATTCTCAGCAAAACAAGAACTTGAAGCCAGTATTGTAAGCTTCAGCCCTGCACTCTGAATTATGATGCTCAGTGATGTATAGCCAGGGAATTGCCATGGCAGATCTATCTGCTTAACAAACCACTGTGCACTGAACACGTGGGTATCCAGGAAAGATTTTAAGTGAATGTGTATGTTCAGAAAAACAACACGGCGCTGTTTAAACTTCAGATGAGTAATGTTTGAAAGCCATAGAAACTTTAAAATAAATAAATCCCAAAGCATAAATTCTGTATTAATTAAAGATTCATTTCCCCCAAACACTTTC